TGACCCAAATGTTTCGTTTTCAATAATTCTTTGTATTGAGAAAATTTGACAGTACTGTAGCCTTCAGGAATGGGGTTTGTTATGACTGGAAAATTGTCAACAGTAGCGATGGCATCTTGATCCTCCGTGAATGAAACTGTCACACCGTTACCATGGAAAGAATAATCAGATGTAAGGTCTTGTATACAACGCAGAAAGAGGTCTTTGTTCTAGGTATTAAAATGAATGAAATATTAAACTATGGTCTGAATGAGCTCAACAGCAATATGATCAAAATTATTGTTTTCTCCAGACACAAAGCCATGGTACATGAAGACCTTCATACTAAGATTGTTGAAAGATTGATATTTAAAAGGTTACTCATATTCATATATGAATGTAATAATCCATAGAAAATAATGGACTTCATTAGAACATACATAAATTTGAATATCATTCATTAATGAATACAAGCCTCCCCCTCCCCACCCCCCAAGTAATGATTTTGATCTTCTAAAGGTTATATGTATGTAACTATGTAGAGAACTTATGGAGTATCTTGAAGACCAATAACATATTTTTACTATTTTGTCCAGATTAACTATGGACTACTTACATATAACCAATTCACTAACAAAAATTGATGCATGATTAATTTCAATCAAGGAGAAAGAGATGTAAAAATGGAGTTGAGCCTTTACCTTTTGATCAACCAATAACATTGCAGGGGTAAGCAGACACTCTGAGACATCTTCACACATCATACCAAGATTACACAATAGGATTTTCATTAATTTTCCAATGTTGTTGTCTGTACTTCCATTCAGTGCAATACTAAAGATCAGCTCAGTTACTGTTGATAATATCAGTATGCCTTTTCCACGAGATTCCTGGATGATAACAGGTAGGGATGTTTTTGAGGTGACAGCCAACACTTCCAAGTCTTTGCAAGGTTTGACTAGGAGTCATCATAAAAATGATGGATGAACTTACACAAAATGCTACAAAGTAGACTCTACATTTAAGAAATAAAAGATGTTTACTGTGTTTGCACAGGCTTATGCGAACCAAGGAGACCTTTGGGAAAACTAGAGAGCAGATCAGTGCAAGCCCGATACCAAAGGTCCAGGATTGCACCTGCTCAAGAGTTCTCACAAATGTCTCCGAGGTTTGCATAAGCCAGTGCAAACACGAAAAATATCTTTAATTTCTTTAATAAATTAACAATAATGTGAAACAGACAAATTTAAAGTAAACATTTTACTTTTTACTCTAAAAAGTTTTCATGATCGATTTGCAACTTCTCTTTGACTGATTGACTGTTATGAATGATTTGATTGCTTGAGCTCAGATGTGTTTTGCATTGGCTAATGCAAACACAGCTCTAGACCAATCCGTGCAAGGGTTTCATTGTGTTTATTTTATAATTGTAAATGTTCCATGCAATGGCACTATCAGTCCACGTATTCAGTTGTGCTGTATGCAAATGGAAATTGTGTTCACTAGTAGCCATAATTATAAATTTCTAAAGAATTAAAGAATTTGATGTTCCTGAATTTTATAATGGACAACTCAATCTTCTATTCCACTAGTTTCATGCAACTTATCTTAATTTTCACAATTCTTGAGGAGAATCAAAATGGTTTGCACAACTTATTTCACTATCGCATTGTATCACAAGTTCCATAAATATCCCTTTATGTTCATTACTGAACCTACCTTTGACGTACGTATTTACATCAGCCACATTGCTACATCGTTTCTTTCTCATATTCTCAGTAAACCATATTTCATCATCAGGAATAGGAAGTTGGCCCAAGCTGATGTTATCACTGAATGAAATGTTCTTTGAAAATACCAACAGCTTTCCCTGGTGACGAAAGAACTTTTCAAACGACTTTTTGTGAGATTCTTCAAGGTTTATAGATAAATCTGAAGCGACTATCAACAGTTCAGTGTTTTCTTGCCAAGGCTCTCACAAGATTGACTCATCTTTGAGCTGATATAAAACATATTTATCCCGACTTAAACATCGTCCGAAGAAATCCTTGAGATTTTGAAACGCAGCTGAAGAGTACTTGCCTTTCCCAGTGTAAATAAGCACATTTGGAGGTCTTGTTGACATTTTACGCACAACATTTTTGGCCGTTGATGCTTCTAGCATGCCAAGTCGTAAACTATTAACAATATGAGTTGCGTACGGTAAAAGAAACATGATTTTTCTACAGTTTCGATCATTTCTTTTACAAAATAATTTTTACGTTGATGTTTTGGTACACTGTTACAAAAGTGGGGGAACTTCATGTAATACAAAGTATAATGATACACCATTATCTTCTTTTCTACAATAAAAATATAATGAAGTAAAACATGTGTGTGAGTTGTGACATCAATTTTTGGGATTTCAGCCTTCTTAAAAAATCATACAGCTTTTTCCAATGACTGGAAGCACTTTCTGTATCATGACGTTGTTACTGACTGTGTTTAACACAGATTTTGACGGCTCTGAAAATGCCAGCTACAGCATTCTGGTTAAATTATTTTTTTAAAAAAGTTTTGAAATAAGCTTTCCAAGTACAACTGGCAAGAAATTGTAGAATCAAGGTACAGTGGATAGCACTTTTAAATACACAGAGAATTATATAATAAAAGATATTTTGTACAACCAACATTTATTCAAGCTCAAATCAAAACTTTTCTTGCATGTTTTGTGTAGCTAAAACTCTATCTTGTCCATGGACGCTGGACAAAGAAGCAATCGCGGGGAGGGGCTCTCCTTGCCTAAAAAAATGTCTCTTTTGCCTTTTATTTCTTATTTGAAACTTTAGTTCTGAAAAATATCACCACAGTTTTGTATCAACATATTAACTTGTCATTCGCAGACTACAATGGGAAGGCAGAACTTGAATTATTCCATGAAACATCAAAGTAAGAAAGAAAAACTGTTATTCATTGTCTCATTGAAATTTTATATAGCAAATCTTTAGTTTTGAATTAAACTGGTATATGTTTTTAAGTAAATTTTTCCGAATATTGAAAGCAGCAACCGTTCCTTATCTTCTCGGAGCGATGGTCTTTTCTTACTCAATTAAAAGCCGTAAGTTGAAACCATTGGAGATAAAAGTTCGATTTCCTTGTATTGTTGAAATTTATTTAACTTTAATTTATAATTAAGCGAGAAACCAATTCTCGTTTTTATAATTTCGGTCAAATCGTTAGTACATGATTATAAATAAGGATCACTTGAGGAAAATAGGAGGGATAGAAGAGGATTAAGTGAGGTTAGTGAGCAGTTATTGCATGAGTACAGATGCTTTCATTACTGGTGGGTTCAGTCTTGCTGTGCAGTACAATCCACTACAGTTTGCAATTAAAACACATGCATATGCGTGTACAAATAATGGAGAAAAAACTAAACGTTTCATGAGATCCTAAAGCAATCATCCTAAAAAACGTATCGCAAACTTGAGCTCGTATACTTTTTTATCAATTTCATACATTACAGATGAAAAATATAATGTGAAAAATCATAAATTTCATAAAGTAAATATTTTTGCTTTTCATGACAATACGTTGAGATGCTTTGAATTCCATTGCACAAAATAATTGCCCACGTATCGACTTTGTCTGAAGAAGTGAAGATATATAGTCATCGACAGTAGAATTAGTATTGTAAGTTATGCTACAAACTAACTTCGTCAGTCCTGATGGCCAAGTATAACTAAATACATCGTCTTTAAGAGAATCGGTGAGTTATTGATGATGTAATTGTATTGAAATATTAAAGTTAACTTAAAATAAATGTGAGGGTACATATATCGTCATCAACAGCATGATGGATAAGTTTTTACTAATGCCCGACAAGGTGCATGAATTGATTGTAGAAATGCTCGCGTGTATGTAATTAGCGCTCCGTTTACTTTAAAGCCATATCAGAATTGCAAAGTTTTTCAGCAAATAAACTCTCTATCGCTCTATCTATCTTCGTTCATCGTCTGTTTCTTCATCAAATTCGATGTGACGATGAGAAAAACAATGCTTTGCAAATATTTTTTCCTCAAAAAAAGCTTTTGTCTTGGCTTCAAAGATAGCAGTGAAGTTATATAGCCCTCAAGTCCTTTTAGAGCTTCTTGACAAACTGAAATAAATCTACAGGGAAAGTGGAAACTTTATTGAGCTAAATTCATGTATATTTTGTCATAAAGAAAGCATTTAAAATCTAGTAATTTTTGTGTCATGTGTATGCAGTATATAAAATATATAAAACTTTTATTTCTAAATCTATCGTCTCGCTGTTTTGAACAGATATGAATATTTTACAATAAAAACAGCGGGTGATTAAAATTAAACATTTAGTGAACATTTCAATTTCTTTATTATCAAGCAAGAGAAACAAATACATCATGTAGTACGTAGCGTATTTTTAAATCTTTCTGAATTTGTGAAAGTATGTTGATTTTAAGTTTACTTGTCATTGTAATACTGTATTCTAATTTTGTGATTGAATGTTTTATGTCCATTTATCAATTATTTTGTTTTTTGTGTCCTGAATATTGTGAATTAATTGTCGTAAATAACTTATACCAACCAGTGAATAATACCAACCAGATAACAAATACGGTCAACCTGACGCTTACTCCTCATTTGACTCTGAAGATGACTACCGCTAAGGTTATCGAAACGTCAGTCAACAACAACAAAAACAGTTCTTCTCAGGGCTATACTAACCTGGGCGATCTACATCTACAAACATTTAACGATACTTCCGTGTTCAAACCGTGTTCAAACCATTTACATTATGGATAACATTTGTTGATTTTAGTGGGATTTTTAAACTGTCACAAATACATTAGGAATAGTGATCCTGAATTAGCAATCCTGACCTTTACACATTAACATTCCAATAGATTGTTTTGGATATTATTTATAAGTTAAGCTACAAAATTAAGGCCGTATCAAAATAATCACTGAATTTAAATTATTCATGCCTTTCACAGAAATTGATTTGCAAATTCGTCGAACTTCTCAAACCTATGACGGAGTGTTTTGCAGATCACAAATGTGGTGAACGTATTATTATGAGGCGTTGAACACAATCCAAGATCGTTCAAACAGCGTATGCGAAGTAAGCGTATTATACTTCATGTATAACAATGTGCCCTCCCGGCTATCATCATAGTGCACGTGTTGTTCTCCATCACTTGCAACACTGGATGTACGGTTGCCCATTGTTTTGATTGCATCGTAGAGTCACCAGTTATAATATTCCGATATTACGATTAGGGTTGTTATCATCTAAGATATATATGTATATTAGATAAATGAAAGGCAAAATCTTTGAGTTAAAACCACAGTGTAAAAACTAAGAGTCTGCCATATTTACATTTTACACGTGTTATTCTTTGGAAAAAGTTACCAGACGAATTTTTAATATCTTAACTATACTGATATTTTTGTATGATCTAAGACTTATAAATGTTTGCAGCATGCTAAATGTTAGACAAAATTTACCTTAAATGAAAATTAACGACACCAACGTCTTAACAACTTACTATTTGAATTATTTATCAGGAAAACTAGATCATCAACCGTTGGTTGTGGCAAGAGCTGCCTACGACGTAGGTAGTGTAAAAAGTGCAAATCTGGCATTAACGTGGAGAAATACTTAGATAAGTTGAATGAAGGAAAGCGACAGAAAATGGATGTCAATTTTCAAAGAATAAATTCAGCTTACTTAGGAGCAAAAAGTTTAAAGTTAGCAGTACAAAAAAGTGTTAAAGAATCCATCTTGTTGGAACATGTTTTTAAACTTTTCTCAATAATATCTTTCGATCCTTTACCACAGGATATCATTATCAAATTTATTAGAAGCATTGATCCCCAAAAATCTGCTGAAGATGTTTGTCTTCATTTAAAGCAATGTTCGATATTTCTTCAATCTAAAAACAACGACATCCGCCTGCACAGCGTTGTACATGAAGCCATTATAAATTATCATGAAGAAAACATTTTTGCGATATCTTCTGCCGATCTTGCCTGTCACGTTGCTTGGGCACTATATCATTTTGAAGACAGAGAAGATGAAATCAAAATAATTCCACATCTAATTAAATTCATCAAAAATTTGTCATCTGAACAATTTTTAAATAAGTTGATCGATGTAAAATCATTGAAACAAAAACTTAATGAAAAAAATTGGAAAATTGCCAATTATTTTGTGGCTGCATTGGAAAGATTCTGCTACTACAAACAGGCAACAAAAGTACTTTATGAAATAACCGAAATTCAAACAAAAGTGTTAGGTGTTGATCATATTGATGTTTCATTTTCGTACAACAAGCTGGGTGTATTGCTGTGGAAGAATGGAGAATACAAAAAAGCAAAAGATTTATATGAACAAGCAATGAAAATTCAAACAAAAGCATTTGGACCTGACCATGTTGATGTTGTGAAAATCTACCACAATCTGGGTGCGGTTTACAGAGATATGGGAGAGTACGAAAAGGCAAAAGATTTCTATGAAAGAGCGATGGAATTTGAAATGAAAGCATTTGGACCTGACCATGTTAATATTGCATCAACGTACAACAATCTGGGTTTGGTTTACAGTAAAATGGGACGGTACGAAAAAGCAAAAGATTTTTATGAACGAGCGATGAAAATTCAAACAAAAGCATTTGGACATGACCATGTTAATATTGCGACAACGTACAATAATCTGGGTTTGGTTTACTATGATATGGGAGAGTACGAAAAAGCAAAAGATTTTTATGAACGAGCGATGGAAATTAAAACAAAAGCATTTGGACCTGACCATGTTAATATTGCATCAACGTACGACAATCTGGGTTTGGTTTACAGTAAAATGGGAGAGTACGAAAAAGCAAAAGATTTTTGTGAACAAGCGATGAAAATTCAAACAAAAGCATTTGGACCTGACCATGTTAATATTGCGACAACGTACAACAATCTGGGTTTGGTTTACCATAATATGGGAGTGTACGAAAAGGCAAAATATTTTATGAACGAGCGATAGAAATCAAAACAAAAGCATTTGGACCTGACCATGTTAATGTTGGGACAATGTACAACAATCTGGGTTTGGTTCACAAAGATATGGGAGAGTACCAAAAAGCAAAAGATGTTTATGAACGAACGATGGAAATTGAAACAAAAGCATTTGGAACTGACCATGTTAATAATGCGACAACGTACAACAATCTGGGTTTGGTTTACAGTGATATGGGAGAGTACGAAAAAGCAAAAGATTTTTATGAACAAGCGATGGAAATTGAAACGAAAGCATTTGGACCTGACCATGTTAATATTGCATCAACGTACAACAATCTGGGTTTGGTTTACAGTAAAATGGGAGAGTACAAAAAAGCAAAAGATTTTTATGAACGAACAATCGAAATTGACACAAAAGCATTTGGATCCGACCATGTTAATATTGCGACAACGTACAACAATCTGGGTTTGGTTTACCAAGATATGGGAGACTACGAAAAAGCAAAAGATTTTTATGAACGAGCGATGGAAATTCAAACAAAAGCATTTGGAACTGACCATATTAATATTGCGACAACGTACAACAATCTGGGTTTGGTTTACAGTAAAATGGGAGAGTACGAAAAAGCAAAAGATTTTTATGAACGAGCGATAGAAATTAAAACAAAAGCATTTGGACCTGACCATGTTAATGTTGCGACAATGTACAACAATCTGGGTTTGGTTTACCAAGATATGGGAGAGTACGAAAAAGCAAAAGATTGTTATGAACGAGCGATAAAAATTGAAACGAAAGCATTTGGACCTGACCATGCTAATATTGCGACCATGTACAACAATCTGGGTTTGGTTTACAGTAAAATGGAAGAGTAAAAAGCAAAAGATTTTTATGAACGAGCGATAGAAATTCAAACAAAAACATTTGGACCTGACCATGTTAATGTTGCGACAACGTACAGCAATCTGGGTTTGGTTTACAAAGATATGGGAGAGTACGAAAAAGCAAAAGATTTTTATGAACGAGCGATGGAAATTGAAACAAAAGCATTTGGAACTGACCATATTAATATTGCGACAACGTACAACAATCTGGGTTTGGTTTACAGTATAATGGGAGAGTGCAAAAAGCAAAAGATTTTTATGAACGAGCGATAGAAATTAAAACAAAAGCATTTGGAGCTGACCATATTAATATTGCGGCAACGTACATCAATCTGCGTTTGGTTTACCATGATATGGGAGAGTACGAAAAAGCAAAAGATTTTTATGAACGAGCGATTGAAATTGTAAAAAACAAATTAGTTGCTGATGATGAAAGTAAGTGTGAGATAAGTTGAATGAGTAATAATGATAAAATCTTGATGATTTCATATATTTTTTACAGAAATTTAAAAATCTGATCGATGACTTTTTTGAAAATGATGAAAATGTGAAACTATTGATTTTAAAACAAAGTCGAGTCTTCTACACATTTTTTTGTCTGTTTGACATTATAGTGTTTTTTAATGTCAACAATGATTACATTTGTGAATTCTTTGATGTGACAATTAGAGATGAGCAACCTGATGAACGATATATTTTGCTGAAAAGAGGAAAACATTTTCCATATAAGATGTAAATCACTCTCCTGGCTGCCTTTATAGCACAGCTAACTAAATTGTATTACTAGATGTTAATTTTTTTAAGGAATTGTAAACGTGTTGGGGCATGCACAATTTATATATAATTACTGCGATGAAACGTGCAAACGTTTTTGTATACATACCAATAAAATGCACAGTAAACGTTTAACCAATAATTTTCTCTGACCTTGCATTTTTGCTTCAGAGTTGTACATTTTGGCCATTAGGAAAATATCTTTTTCGTTAAATGCATTGTTTGCCATGAATATATGTATTATTTAACGGCTTGATTGGACGTTAATACAAAAAAGTCAGTACTTACTGACCTAAACGGTAAATAATGTTTTTATTATAAAGAAATTCAGATTGCAAAATGGCCGATGCGGGTGGTTAAGTAAAGTTTTTGACAAAGTTCTCTTCGTCTAGATAGTAAAATTAACTTTTGATATAACAATTACCATCTGAATACATTAAAGTTTCACTTTGTAAACAAATTTATTGAGAAAAAACATCACTTTCAGACCATCGCCAAGACATGGTAAAAAGCTGCCCACTGCTGTAGCCTGTGGTTTTTAGGTTGCAGAAAATCAAAAATATCGCTAGGCATGTTAAATAAAAAGTAAAAACGTTTATACTGTGAAATTTTACTCCAGATAATATTGTATAATTATTATTATAGCTTTGAATAAAGATGAAGTTATTGGAACTCATTCAACTCCACAAGCTCTGCACGGTAAAGAAAACAGAAAACGAGGTATGTTTTTTTTCTGGAAATTTTACTATCAGCGGCTATAGATAGCTCACTATGTAGGTTGAAGTTCTGCTAAGTCATATACATGGTGCAGAAAACATTAAAGAAGGTATGTGTACGTCTTGTTTAGAGATTTCACTGAATATAGCATATGAATTGAAGTAATTCATTAAGATTCAACCAGGTAATTCATATTTTAAAGATTTACTCTTAAAAATGAATAAAAATTCATGTTTTTAGTAGCTACAATAGGTATATTGTTTTGTAAGATAATATGTAAAATATTTTAATCCATTAGAAAATATTCCAATATTTTTGCTCATATTTTCACCACCACATAACAATTTTTTAAAAGAACATTTTTCTGACTATAACAAAGAAAGCGGTTTTAGTGCAGCAAACGTACAGGAGTACAGAAGATGTACCACTGTTTTTTGGTATTTAAAATTATATTCAACTAAATGGATTGCTAAGGATTTATTTCCAACTACTTTCATAATTTGCCTTCGGCACACCGTTCTGTCTAAATAAGTAATTTACTAATCAATAGTAGCTATATAGTTGTTTTAAACCACTTTTTGCTTTGAATACATAAATTTTTTTAAATTTTATGAGTAGCCGCTGCGCATGCGCAGCTATGTGTGAGAGTTGAAAACTGTTAGGGTCATTTTATTGCGAAGCTCATTACAATGAACTTCTTTGGCATTTGTTGAAATAAACGAACACATGACCACAGCTCATCGTTAAACTTTTGTGAGGCAAAACTAAATTTTGCATCTCGAAGTAAGTGAGGTCACAATGAGAACAAATTTAGCGCGTGACAAATGTTAATCTTTGTGTAATAAACTCAATGAAATACTTGCATGATATTAAGGCTCCATCAGCGTTCAAAGATCAAATAAAAGTTACTTGCAATCGGCGAAGAATGGCAAGAGCCCTAATCTTATCGTACTGTTGTTGAAAAATATTAGATAAAACCCAGAACATACACTTGATGTTATATTGCCTGGATGTGGTCATTTGTTAATACCAAAATAAAAAGGAGTTCGATTCTGCATGATCATACTCCTTTGTTGGTATGTTAAATATAGGGCAGAATACTAGCTAATATTATCTGAATGGATTTACCAAGCGTTCATTTTCAAAGATTAAACATTATTTGCATAAAATCGTCAAAAATATAGTCTTTTTGTTCAAAATGTTATTACTTTAATATTATGCAAACATAGCTCTTTGACCCCAAAATGGAAATACAAGTCGTATATACGTTAATCAATCATTTATCAGTAAAGAGAATGACATCTCTTATACCTTAGAAAAGTGATTGAAAACAAGTTGTTGACGATGTAGTATTTGTGGCAAAAGTTTATCATTAAAATTTGGGGAGAAATCTTAAAGGCTGTATTTTCCTTGATGTGACCCCAGTCACGTATTACGCATTCTGAGTGAGGAATTTCAGAAAATACAGAAAGGGTTTGTGACAGTTCAACTGAGTCATTCAATTGAACAATGAGCAAAAAGCTCATTTTCAAGCCTTGAAGAAGTTTGGTGCTTTTAATAACGAAACACATAGAGTATTCAAACTGTGCTCATTATTCTAGTCCATTTTGAGGCGATATATTTGACAGGCTACCCCAATGGGCTACCCACATAATCGGTATTCGTAAGCGCTTTTCATTTTGAATTTGCTAATCATATGCGAGCATACTAAGTTTATAAAGTTGCTAGGCTTCAAACGATTTAAAATTTTTTCTGATCTATATATAATTTGTTTATTAATACATTATGCATTTCCTTTCGTTAATTTATCAATTCAATTATTTGTTCTGAATTTTCAAAGGTCCTCTTAGTCGTCATAAAAATGATGAAAGCTTTAATGATGACAGTTCTGATGATGACAGTACTGGAGATGACAGTTCTGATGATGACATTACTAGAGATGACAGTTCTAGTGATGATAATCTCATCAATAATGGCCCTGGTTATGGTGCGTCAAATGATCTCTTTAAATCCGATGATGATCATTTATTTGAAAAGATGTTTCTTGATGATGAATATGACATTAAAGAAGATGTGCACATAAAGCTCAAAAGGTTATTTTCTCGATAGTCACGTCTAGGGTCTTACTCTTAGTAAAAGAGGATGATATTCCGTATGATCTTAATAGTACTAGATTAATTAAGCATTTAAAATATAGACAATCGACTTAAAACATTAAGTCATCTTCAATTTATAAATGAAGTAGAGTATTAACAATGTTAAATATACAGTAGGACATGCATATGAGACATATGGAGTAGTAATCAGTAGAGGGATAATTTTTCATAATAAAGTCTTAGATGTTTGTAGATCGTCCAGGTTGGTATAGTCCTGAGAAGGACTGTTTTTGTTGTTGTTGACTGACGTTTCGACAACCTTAGTGGTAGTCATCTTCAGAGACTATTACATGTAACGATACCCCCGGGTTCAAACCATTTACTTTATTACGATCATTTGGACGACAGAGCGAACAACTTGCTAATGACTACAAACGTTTTGTATCTTCAGAGTCAAATGACATGTATTATGAGTGTCATAAATATTTTTATGGCATGCATTGTGAGTGTCATAAAGACTAATTGAAATATTACGTTTGTTGGTTGAGATCGGTTTGTGTTTGCGTATGTGTAGACATCTATAAGTTTGAGAGAAAATTTAGTGTTGGCAGTGTCTAAGATGGTGAGGCAAAAGTGGGTGTATTTGGATTTGCAGCTAAGAGTTTCTATTTTTTTTCGGATATTATGTGCTTTTTAAGCCAGGTGCCTGCCAGGTGGCTACATGATGGGTTATCATTCACCATGACAAATACGCTGTTCAGAGCCATTTTTAAATTTATTAGCACGACGAATTTCTTAATTTTCACTTTTATTTTACAGTTTGCCTTGGATGCGGGGCGTTTATGGAAAAGTCGGTCCAAACGAGAAACTACCATATTTCCATTTGTTTATCACAGTGGATTACAAGAATGTTCATGAAGCTGAATTGAAAGATGAAATCAATAAAATGTTTGGACCAAATGCTTCGAGGTACTTTGAATTTCATCCAAAACCATCGAAAACACCAAAGCTTCAACTGCTATCAAAGATTGCAGTAGAAAGAAACAGTCGGACAGTTTCAAGAGGCACATTAACGATGTTCTGTTATCAGAACGGGAAACATTACGCGTTGACCTGTTGTCATGTTTGTTACAACGGAGATGGTGATGACAAACTTTATAAAATGCTCAATCAAAACAAAAATGACCCTAACGAATTCAAATCACATTTGAATACAAATCAATACATCTACACATCATCTTCAGAACCCAATATTCACTTAGGATATTTCAGCGACTATAATTTACAAACTGACATGGACATTTTGTCAATAGAAGTCAATGAAGATTTTAAAGAAAATTGCAGACGAAATAAAATACATAGACCTTCATGGAATAATACATGGAGGGAGCTGAATAAACGAGTTCATGTTGAGCACGAGACAGTTGAAGTAAAAAAGTATGAGAAGTATAAAATTGGGAAAATTTATGATGTTTCTTTTTCCTGTAATGATCCTGAAGGGAAGGTCGTGTATCAGGATGCCGTTCTAGTGAAAAGCAAAGAGCATTTCCTTAAAAGTGGTGAGTCTGGCGTGCTAGTATATTTTCGAGATGAGCATGGAAGAAGAATTCCTTTTGGTTATGGTATTGCTCGGGTTTATCACGAGGAACTCTGCGAGCCAGGGTATAAGTATTATATATGCTTCAAACTGAGTAAGGCTTTAAAAAAGTTATTTGGTGAAGAAAACTGTGAGAGCTGTGGCTGTTTTCGTGATTGTGCAAATGCCATGCAATGATGGCGCTTGATTGGAAAGCATCTTGTCATCTTACTTATATTCTGTTGAAGTATCATACACGCCACGCCTGGTATTGACAATTTCAAAACATCTTCAATTTATATAGGAGAGTTTTATATTTAGCCTTACACTTATTATAATAGATGAATCACTGAAATATAGAATTGTTTTTTTATATTGTGTCCAAGGTTACTGGAGGATCAAAACTGGAAACTTATATGCCCTTTTAGCAGTAAAAAAGAATGAAACAATTCTTGAGAGCTGCATTTTTTTTTGAAGTTAACTCACTCGCTGTTCAAATATTTTTATACAATATATAACAATATATCATGCAGTTGTATGAATTTGTAGAAGGAAAAATCTTAAGGAAATTAATTAAAGTTAAAATTTATACATCATTAATTTTTTTACATGTGTCAGTCAAATGCCTGAAAAATGCAGAGGGTTGCGTCTTAAGGAAGAACATCCGCCTTAAAAACCATTGCCAAAATGAAATATGTAAATCCGTTCTTTGTCTTCCATACCAGATCAGTCGCATAGCCTGCTGGAAATGGAATTGAATTACTGTAGGTCTGCAAAGAGGGGAAAACGTATCTTCGCAAAAAAAGAGTTGACAAATGACAGAGTTGAGCACTGCATGAAGTAAGAACTTTAAATGTTGGGACAGTGTAAGTAAAAGCTAGACAGTTGGTGGATATAATGTAATGGGAAAAAGGAAATATCTAACTCTATGACGCGTAGCTGGAATCGGTATTAATTAAATTGACTAATACTGTCCTTTGCCGACAAAAGGATTACGTGTTTAATCTGTTTTAAGTGTCATCTCTAAAAATAGGGATGACATTGACCTTTTGTAACATTATAAATATAGCATGATTTGGAGGTTCTCATTTAGCAGACGTTTACACATGACGAGTAGTCTGCCGAAATGCATACTGTCTCTTTCTAGCTGTAAATAATGGTTCCTTTGAATTGTTGGGTTAGTGTTCTGGTGAAAACAGTTCTTTTAAGAACTATTACATTGTTATTATTACCATTCACCATGGTATTTGCTATTTTGAAATCCATCTTTAAGTTTGTCACCACGACAAAGTCTCTGTTTCATTATTTAGAGAATAAAAATTCAGTAATGTGCGTGAAGTTAAAAATTAAAGGCTTGATGTTTAATGCAATAGGTTTTTCATGTTAAGCTCCAAATGTAGAATTCAAATTAGAGGAAGGTATTTTTAGTGCCAAAGATGAAGTGGTACAGAAAATTTCATAAAGTGTGAGGATAGTTATTGGTTCTGACTTCCAATGACATGTCGATGCAGGCAACCGAATTGAGGAGGAAATAATGAGCAGGTTTTGCGTTCACAATAAGAACATAGAAAGACAGTTGGTGGAGAAGTTTACAACATAATATAAATGGCTGTATTAAATAGATTTTTTCATAAGGGGAGACGAACATCAGGTGAATGTAGTGGCAGATGAGCCATGGGCGTGTAGCTAGACAGCACAAAATAATAGTGTGCGCGATAGCTATAGCTAAAAGGATGATAAATTCGACAAAGATATTAAAAAGAAGAAACTATTAGAGACTGAAAAAGGAAGAGTGTTGTGTAGTTTATGTGGAGAAGTTGAAACAGGCTGTAAGTGAACAGGATGTGCTTCCAGAGGACTGGCTTTTCAAGCAAATGTGATCTGGAGTACGGGTAGAAAAATGCTTGTATGTTGTGAGGAAGTAAAGTACATCAGGACGTTCGGTGGAGGAATGAAGAAGTGCAGGTGTGTGTCATAAGAAAAAGAATGGAAGGAAGATGTGGAATATAACAAAATAGCTAAAGATAGTAAAATGGAGCACAAGTACAATATCGTAATGTTAAATTTGTAGTGGCAAAAAAAAAAACAAAAGGTATATGATGACTTGTTTTATTAATAAGATTGTAGAAAAGGAAAGAATGATTCATATAGATTCGCAAGATAAAATATAGAGATGCAAAAGATATGCTGTAAATTAAAGTTATGATGGAAATCTAATAACAGATAACAAAAGTGTGATAAGATGGCATGAGAAAAATAAGAGCTATGTGTAAGAGAGATGATTGCTGTAGATAAAAACGTTAGTAAAGATGAAGTTTTGAGATTAAAGATTCTTCGACCTTGATGACATACTTGTGAAAACGTGAAAATTTTGAGGAAATGTTGTACAGGAAATACACACAATACAATGACGTAAGACCAGATAACAAGTACGGCCAACCTGACGTTTACTCCTCATTTGACTCTAAAGATGACTACCGCTAAGGTTGTCGAAACGTCAGTTAACAACAACAAAAGCAGTCTTTCTCAGGACTATACCACCCCGTACGACCTACATCTACAAACATGTAACGATACTCCCGGGTTCAAACCATTTAATATATTGTACAATAAATAAATATCGTTGTACAAAAACGGAGTGTTATTGACGTTGTGTTTTTATTGAAATAAAAATTATTTACGAGAACACAAAGTTGTCGATAAGGAATTAAATTTTTACTTCTTATAAAACAACAAAATATTTTGAGATGAGCAATGTTTTTGTGAAAACGAAGTCGTTCTCGTTATTCTTGGATGTTTACTTGACAGTTGTTTCAAATGTTATATAAACTCACTTTAAGCAGAAAATTTCCGTGACAATATTAGTTTATCTTTATTACTATAAAAACTGTTGTTTATTATATTTCTTTCACGACAATTCAACATATAGGTCAACATTATTATTTATTACTGTGACATGGGAAATTACGAAAAAGCAAAAGACTTTCATGAGCGAGCGATAGAAATTCAAACGAAAGCATTTGGACCTGACCATGTTAGTATAGCGACAACGTACAAAAATCTGGGTTTGGTCTACTGTGACATGAGACGAACGAGCTTTAGATATCCAGACAAACGTTTTTGGTTACAACCATGGTAACACAGCTACAACGTACAAACTGAGTTAAAATCAAAGACTTTAAAGCACATGTATATATAGAAGCATCGCGTAGAAAAGGAAAAACGTTTTATTTTGTCCTAAAACAGTAATTTTACATCGCAAAATAAATTTTTATATCTTTTGATGAGTTTAATAATATTGACTACAAATCAAAAGTAGCTATCATGAATAAATACAATAACAATCACAATGTGTATTATGGCTTTACATAACAATCTATTCTTTAGCTAATTTAAATTCCATTGCTCAGTTTAATTCCTCATTTAACGGCGTGAAGGTTGGTTATTAAACGCATCTTCCAAGAAAACGTGCTGAAGTCTGAGGTAAAGAATAAGTTCATCATCAGTAGAAGGGGTTGAAACGAACAAGAAATATCGTCTTCAAAAAAGGTAAGTTTTTTATGATATGTAAAATTTGGAAACTTGGAATAATATTAAATTGTTAAGACACAAAGTCGTCAGACAAAATTTCACTGACATATGAAAATTGATGCATTACAAAGTGATAAACTTTGAGATTGCAAACGTGTTTCTAACTACGTCTCCTCAAAAAATTAATTCGCTATAATTCAACATCACAGGCCAAATAAAGCTGAGAGTTTCAACGAATAAATCAGTTTCTTTCGTTATTTATAAAGTTCGTTCAAAATAATGTGTTCAATCATACGCATTGCATATACATACGGACCAAAACTATAGTTTGTTTCAACTTAAAAAATGTAAAGTGCACCTTTATCTTAACAATGTGCATGAATTCGAAATCTGTTAAACCATCGAGGAAATATATTTGCTTGCTCATAATGTATATAGTTAAGACAAGGAAGTGAGTCAGTGATATTACAGAAAGAAGCAAATTGAGACAATAGATAGAAAATGATTTTGTAATAAATGTCTCTATCAACATAAATATAATTTTTTTATTTTACAAGAGTTATAGACTAAGTTAAAAAATGTTCACTTTAAAGGAAAACATTTTAGTGTTTGTCGCCGTTCTCTTTTTATGCATGATTAGCTTAAATATGTAAACATTCTTCACGAAAATCTTTACGAAAAATTACCGTTTATATGAAATGATATGAACAGAAATCGCACGAGGCTTAGATGATTTACAAAAGATGCACAGTTTAGAGCATCCTATATTTGCTAATATCGATTCATTGGTTCGATTGCTCGAATTTTCTCAATTTTGAACATTACATGTATGGTTAATGCTGCGGTAATTATTGCAGTGTTGCGAAATTGACTTTATAATCAAAACGTATGAATATAGAAGTACTGGAGAAAAGAAAAAACGTTTTTTATAGTTCTAACCAAGCATGCTATAATTTAAGCAATGCAAAATTAAAGTTCTTATATATTTTTAATAATTTGCTCAAAAAACAGAACAAAAATGCATGAATAAAATTAAAAACATTAAGGATGATTAAATTCTGTTGCGCAGTTTAATTTGCCACATCAATGTAAAGGTGAAAGTATAAAGTTTATTTCCAAAGATTATTGAAAAAGTGAAAGTTTAAGATAACAATGGACAAACATACCTAATCATGAATCATTAAGTGACAAAAAATATACAACAATAATCAAATATCGTTGTACAAAAACGGTGAGTTATTGACGTTGTGTTTGTATTGAAATAAAAATTATTGACGAAAACACAAAGTTGTCGATAAGAAAAAAAAATTTTTACTTCTTATGAAAGAAAAAAAAGTTTTAAGATTAACAATGTTTTTGTGAAAACGACGTCGTTCTCGCTTTTCTTGGATGTTTACTTGACAGTTATTTTATATGTTATATATACTCACTTTAAGCAGAAAATTTCTGCGACAATATTAGTTTCTCTTTATTACTATAACAACTGTTGTTTACTACATTTCTTTCACGACAATTCGACATATAAATCAACATTATTATTTATTTTATTATGAAAAATGATTAACTGTTTTTTATACTCTACATAAAAATACATTCTTTCATGGTAAAATTAAATTTGCATGTTACTGCATGACATAATTTATCAGTCGAACATTACTTTAACTCTTTGGCGACGGCAAAAATTTATGCAACATTTTTTAATAACTTATATATTTCCGGAAGTGATTGTTTTATTACAAATATCTCATTTAATACTAAAGCTTTTGTAAAACAAATTACACCATTAGATAGCCTGTAATAAGTGTTTTCTGGTGATAGAAGTTTTAGTACTTGGAAATGTTTTATAATCATTAAAATCGTTGTTTCTCTGCCTTCAACACCATGCATAATTATAACGCAATGAACCCTTACCCGAAGTTAATCGGAATTTTAAAGCTTTATGTTGTAGATATGGCAAAACAGAGTAAGCCATGAGAAAATTCACTCAATTTTCTGTAGGTAGATGAAATTGCAGCTTTTCACAACGAAAATTAGTGCGGTTTTGGGAATTGAGTTATAATTTTACAAAATGTTTTTTTAATCGCAGCGTTTGTTGCCATAGCGATACGTTAAAGAAACCTTCGCTCAAACAGTCTATGTCAATGGCTTTGTTTTTTATAAGACTATGGGAATACTTCATCTTAAGAAAAAAAATGATGCTGAGTCGATTCCCGGTGGTTTAAGTCATCATCAAAAGTACGAACTATATAAAATGAACGAAAATATTTTAAGTCATATTTGCTGACGAACTATGACGACACCAAACATACCTTGAATTATTGGTATTCTAAAAAGCATATGAAACTTTTAGCGCTTTGAATATATTTTTGGCCGTTTTTTTTATAATGAATGTGTTCAACTGATTTGATAATCTTTGAAAGAAGTTTAAATGACAAAGAAGTATAATCTGCCTTCTGAGACTAAAAATGAACATATAGAAAGAAAATGTGAAAAATGTCTTTTTTCATAAAAAGTATGGTTTGAAAATAGAAATGTTTTAAAAAAGAAAACATCATCGTATTAATTAACTATACTAAAGTAAATTATCATCATAATTTTTCTCTGTAATGTCATTTATCACTTTAATATTGTGATAAAAAATATTAAATATTGAAACCAACTTCTAACAAAATTAAATCTTTGTGAATGTGGGCAACAATCACTCGAATTTTTATGATTTTGAAAACATGTGAAGCTTAGTGCAACCTGAATTGAGCTTTACATTGATAGGTTGGAATATTTTCACTATGATCATTGTTTAATTGCTGTCATTCTATTTCGTTCAATCTTCCTGTGTTGTGCAATTGGGTTAATACAATTAAAACACTAGAATATAAAAGTACTGAAGACATAGAAAAACGTTTAAAGAATCCGCTTCATAGAAAGCAAACCATGCATTTTGTAATAATGCATTAGGAAAATGAAGTTTTTAAAACTTTTTTGTAAATTTGCTTACATTATACACCAAAACTGTCACGAACAAAAACAATTAAAATCATAAGGTATATCTTTGATTTACATAGCAATCTATTCTTAGGAGGATTTAAATTCCATTGCGCAGTTTGATAAATCACAGAGAAAAGTGAAAGATGCTTATAAAGTATATTTTCTTTTACAGTTTGTCAGGGAAATGGAAAGTTTAATTCGTCATCATTAGAAAGAGTGAAAGATAAACGACAAACAAACATTAAACTTGATCACAAAGTATGGCAGTATAAATCTTTGTCGACATTAAGGGTGAGTTATTGATGTTGCGTTTGTATTGAAATCAAATGCTGGGATGTATACAGGGTTTAACGTATGAGTAGATTTTAATTAACATATATGTTATTGATACCTTGAAACGGAGCAAAAACATTTGAGAATGCAAGCGTTATAATATTTTGAATGTAAAGCATTTTTGAAGTCTGTGATTGTTCTGATTACTTGTATTTTTTTATCGAAAAAATTTGATTTTTTACAATCGAGTTTGAGCACGAAACTCCGACGACAATAAAGATCTAGCATTGGCCATCACTTGCCCTAAATTGCTTGAAATTTTGATAGCTTGTACAGCACAGGCCATATTTTAACTCAGGTTGGTTAAGTTATTTGTCCAATGATTATTTTTTGTGTGCAAGGCTTGTTTCGAAGAACTTTCAACAGCGGATACTTCACTGTAAAAAAAATCATGCATTTTTAAAATTACATTGCCAGCTGTACCAGAGAAGTACTTTGAATAACTAAAATTTGTTGCTCTGTCTGCACTCGTTTTAAATCACGATTTCCAAGACTGTACTATTTTTATATAGCCTATATAAGTGCTATGCATCAATCTTCGTTCACGACAATTGGACATTTACAAAAGAAAAGGATTATTCATTTTAAAATAAAATGGTTTCATATGAAGATTCTAACCTATATTGCTATATTATAATCGTTTGACACTTATGAATTTATTTTTGGCCAGTTTTTTGTCTTTAAATGTTTTTAAATATTTTTGTGGTGACCATAATATTCCTAAAATATTGATTCTTTGTAAAAAAACTACAATATTGATGATCTTTAAAAGAAATCTGAAAGGCTGTAACCAACACAGTTTGCTTGCGGAGAGAAAAAAACAACCTCTTTAAAGTTTGTTACAAATGTTATGTCTATATATATATAACATGCTATAAAATATAACAGTTTCAGAAGAGAAAACCGTATCCACAGTGCAAAAATTATGTATGTTGTTGTCTCCAGTCCTGTCTGTATAATCACGTGAATATTTTTACCTTTAAAAACTTTAATTCATGAGATATAGTACTATTCAACATGGCATATGAAAATTCAAAAAATCAAATTATTTGATTAGTAACTTTTACTCAATGCTCTTGTCATGACAATGAATGTCAAATTCGTGGCTTGTGACTGAATGAAAATTATTTGAATAACGAGACCAAATAAGTAACTAGCTTTTAATTAAGAATCGTATGAAACTCTTAGCAATATCAAATGTAAATATAATTTTGGCCTTGCAGTTTTCTTGCTGGAAATATTCAACATATTTTACTGTTTATATACCATAACATTTTTTTCACAAAAAATGTGTTGTCGAAAGTCTTTAAAAGAGGTTTTTGCTTCATCACAACAATAGTCAACATCAAGAACCAGCTAGGGTCGTAACGAAATATATACACAACAACCGGAGAGCTCGGAGCCTCCAGTCTATTTATTGTCAATAGCATATGCTAATTATATACAGGTGACTATTATTCGACTATTACATCTTTCTTTCCAGGGAGAATTTTTTTTCATGAAGTTCAACTAAATTATTATAGCCATATCCTTAATATGATAACATTTCTTTAACTATTTAAAATATTTGACTGTTCAAAAAAAATATACAACCTAAATCTACTTGAATGCTTTCTTTAACTTCAAGGGTTTAAACGATCTGAGGATTTACTTATCGTTCCAGATCTTGTTCTGATTGGTTCTGAGCTGTTTGAACTTGCTGCAAAAGTCGTCACTTCTTCTCGAAATTGCGTTTCACTATAGTTCTCTGTTAGTTGTGCGTCGCTAGCAGAGTGACTTAATTTCTGGTTTATTTTTCGATTTTCTTCGTTATTACTCTCTCTCTCTCGTTTTCCGAAACGTGGAGTAAGTGTCTTCTATTTCTTTTAAAAACGCCAATCTTAGTTTGCATATGAATACTCTGACGATGGCTTTGGAATAAAGTCGAAACACAGTGCCATCCAGTAAACTGCTATAGTGGAGAGAATCTCTCGTCCATACGGAGTTTAAAAGAGATTTGACTCGTCTCCAATCCCTGTGGGCTTGGTAGCTCAACAGGTAGAGCGGCGGACTAGTATCCCGAAGGTGCGAGTTCAAATCTCGTCAAGTCACATGTTTTCATATTAAAACCGTGTTAGGATTAATATAGTTTGCATATTGTATGATCTAGGAGTGTTAGCTGCACCAACAACAAAAGCAGGCTCACTCCATTTGTCATCATTTTCTGTTTTTATACGAACATGATTTTTTTCTTTAAAACAGGCAAAGATTGAGTAGAGTATCTCCTGTCGTAGTAAAACTTACTTCTGTTCTGGCTTATTTCATGGTTTTCTTTTACTATCTATTTGTTATATAGACGAGGCTCGTTCCTTTGAGGTGTTATCGGAAGAGTCGTCCTAATCTTATGATTCAGTATAACCTCGGATGTACTGTAAATGGTGCATCTCATGGTTGTGGATCAATGTATCATTAAAGCTAAACAAGGATCTTCCTGCCGTAGGATATTCTTTGAAATCTTTACTGCACTCTCAGCCAGCCCGTTACATTGAGAATTATGGACTTGACGTAATGTGCTTGAATCCATAATTCTTAAAGAAATTACGAAACTCTATAGACGAGAGCTATGGTTCATTATCACTTATAACTTCTGTTGGAACTCCCCATCATGCAAAGATGCATTTTAGTTTGGCTATCACGAAAATTTCCGTAAACGTCGACAAATCTGTGATTGTTATATACCGTAAGTAGTAATCCATTGCCACAAGGAGAGTTTTCCCTTTGAAGGACAAGAGATCAACACCAATACGGATCTAAGTGCCATCTGGTAAAGGTAACGACCTTCATGGTTCTCGTTGTTAAGTATACCGTTTCTCTTGTCAGTTTACGATACGTATAACTATGCATTTTATCTCCTTCCTAATATCAAACCACCACACTGCTTCGTCAACTCTTTCTTTGCATTTTGTAATTCGTTGATGAATTATTTCTAGGATTTTCAGTTGCACGACTTTAGGAATGACTATTCCTTCATTATACAGCAATAATCTGTCGACTACAGAGAGATTTGAGCGAACTGAAAAAGGTTATATTGATCGTGTACAAAAATACCAGGTTTCTCTGGCCAGCCCTCGATAATAACTTTATTGCTTCCTGAATTACAAAGTCTCCATCAGATGCTTCTTTGATCTCATTTAAGCGATCAATTTAACGGCCAGGAACGCATAACTTCATATTTTCGTCCACATTTAGAGGGTATCTGCTTCTAATCATTTGTTTTCCAGGCACATACTGTGCTTTTGGATTGTATTTCATCATTTTCATCAGCAGTCGTTGGCATCTCAGGTGGACAGTGTTTAGATCGGAGCCATTAATAAATGGCATCAGTCAAAAATTTGAATTCTTGTAGACCCCTAAGATGACTGTCAAATTTTTTGCATGCCCAACCTGATGCAAAGCATTCCTTTTCAATTTGAGTATACCTTGTCTCCGCAGGGATAAGTTTACCAGACGCAAATGCAATTGGTTTTAACTGACCTGCTTCTTCTTGTAGCAAAACGGCTTCAATTCCACTGGCATCAGCAGATACGGTAATGGGCTTCTAAGAGTCGTAAAATGTCTACGTCACTGCAGAAACAAGAGATTCCTTTACTTTGTAAAATGCTTCTATTTGTGCTTGACCCCATATCCATTGCGTATCGTTTTTTAAGAGATCATTCATCTGTTTCATTGCTAAATTTTGAATAAATCTTCCAACGTAATAGATCATCCCACGAAATTGCTGGAGCTCCTTAATATTTGTAGGTGCCTACATGTCAACGATAGCTTTCACCTTTGCTGGGTCTGGACGCACAACGTTTTTTCCAAATCTGTGTCCTAGGAAAGTAACTTCAGTTTGTCTCCCCACACACTTTTCCAGGTTGAGCCTCAAACCAGTTTCATTGACAGCATCAAGAACTTTCTTTAACTTTCCATCGTGCTCTTCCATAGTGCGACCTGCAACTAAGATTTGTTTATGTTTTCAAACATTAGCCATTCAGAACGCCCAAAACGCAAAAATGTAAACAAAAGGAGTAAGAAAGTTGTTTTTTGTTTTGAGTCTTTTGGTGAGTATAAAAACCAAAGATTCATGTAAAGCAACACTTTTTCTTAAAATTACTCGTGTTAATTTTTGAATTTCGATCTAGAACCGAATTTATAAGCTGTTAAAAATCTATCACTTGCTTGGTGTACAGGAATTACCTATTTTACCAGCGAAATTTACCAAATTTTTACACAATGTAAAATGGATTGTCTTAATGAGCTCAAAAAATTATTATTTAACACCTGTCATCTTTTTCTTCTCGGAAATGTGTCGTGTGAACCTCCAGCAAGGCTGCGACATTTTTGCGTTTTGCGAGTTCTGATTGGTTAATTGTTAAAAATGTAAAATATCGCTGATTAGCTCAAAAGGAAATTCCCCTTGCTGTGTGTGAAAATTTTGGTTTTTCATTCTTTGTAATTTTTTTTACTGGATAACACGAGTAAAAATCGACAAGATACACTTTTTACTAGTTTTTGTATGCGTGAGAAAGCCATTACATTTTATATACTCATGTTGCGCCGTAATCACAATTGATTTCAATATAAACTGATAAAGTAAAACATGCATATACGAATATTTAGCTACCTCCCTCAATTATCCATCTTTCGCTGCCCTTACCTACAGATGTATTTTTGACTTCGTTTTTTGCTAAACTTTACAGCTTCGTTTGCTTGGCAGAGTTTAAAAAGTTGTTCAAATAATAGAAAAACTATTAAACATAATACTTATCCCCAAAACAATGATACTTTTTCCTTGCGCTTCACGTAATAAATAAAATGTGAAATATTTGCTTGTTTTCCATCTAGTTTATAAAGGTTGTTATTTTCCAACAAAAGTACCATAAAGAAAAACTTACCATCAAGCTTCAAAGCATTCCAGCAGGAGCATTTGGTCTTATACACTCCTTTGAACTTGCGTCAAGCTAAAACTTGAGTATGGCTCCTAGTATAAATATAAATGAGACGCGTGGGAAAGTAAAAGATTTGCACAAACGACCTTTAGAAGTTCAAACGAAAGTACTTGATCCAGATCATGTTGATGTTGCACAAACATACCACATCGTGGATGCAGTTTATTACGAGATAGGAGAGTATGAGAAAGCAAAAGATTCGTATGAACGAACTTTGGAAATTGAAACAAAAGCATTTGGTCCTAATAATTTTGAGATTGCAGCAACATACCACAGCCTTGGAAGGATTCATCATGACAAGGGAGAGTACGACAAAGCAAAAAAAATGTACCAACAAGCTTTAGAAATCGAAATTAAAGTAGTTGGTCATGACCATATTGTCATTGCAACTACGTTAAACAACTTGAGCTTGGTTTATCATGATATGGGAGAGTACGACAAAGCAAAAGATTTGTACGAAAAAACTTTAGATATAGAAACTAAAGCATTTGGTCCTGATTATATTGATTGTGCAGCAACATACAACAACCTGGGAAGGATTTATCATGACATGGTAGAGTACGACAAAGCAAAAGATTTATACGAACGAGCTCTGGATATTGAAACTAAAGCACTAGGTCCTGATCATATTAAGAGTGCAGCAACATACCACAACCTGGGAACTATTTATCAAGACATGGGAGAGTACGACAAAGCAAAAGATTTGTATGAACGAGCTCTGGAAATTTATACTAAAGCATTTGGTCCTGATCATATTACGAGTGCAGCAACATACCACAACCTGGGAACTATTTATCAAGACATGGGACAGTACGACAAAGCAAAAGAATTGTATGAACGAGCTATGAAAATTTATACTAAAGCATTTGGTCCTAATCATATTAAGAGTGCAGCAACATACCATGCCCTGGGAAGCAATTATCATGACATGGGAGAGTACGACAAAGCAAAAGATTTGTATGAACGAGCTATGGAAATTAAAATTAAAGCATTTGGTCCTGATCATATTAAGTGTGTAGCAACATACCACGCCATGGGAAGGATTTATCATGACATGGGAGCGTACGACAAAGCAAAAGATTTGTATGAACAAGCTCTGGAAATTTATACTAAAGCATTTGGTCCTGATCATATTAAGAGTGCAGCAACATACCACGAACTGGGAAGCAATTATCATGACATGGGAGAGTACGACAAAGCAAAAGATTTGTATGAACGAGCTCTGGAAATAAAAATTAAAGCATTTGGTCCTGATCATATTAAGAGTGCAGCAACATACCACGCCATGGGAAGGATTTATCATGACATGGGAGAGTACGACAAAGCAAAAGATTTGTATGAACGAGCTCTGAAAATTTATACTAAAGCATTTGGTCCTAATCATATTAAGAGTGCAGCAACATACCACGCCCTGGGAAGCAATTATCATGACATGGGAGAGTACGACAAAGCAAAAGATTTGTATGAACGAGCTCTGGAAATTAAAATTAAAGCATTTGGTCCTGATCATATTAAGAGTGCAGAAACATACCACGCCATGGGAAGGATTTATCATGACATGGGAGAGTACGACAAAGCAAAAGATTTGTATGAACGAGCTCTGAAAATTTATACTAAAGTATTTGGTCCTAATCATATTAAGAGTGCAGCAACATACCACAACCTGGGAAGCAATTATCATGACATGGGAGAGTACGACAAAGCAAAAGATTTGTATGAACGAGCTATGGAAATTAAAATTAAAGCATTTGGTCCTGATCATATTAAGAGTGCAGCAACATACCACGCCACGGGAAGGATTTATCATGACATGGGAGAGTACGACAAAGCAAAAGATTTGTATGAACGAGCTCTGGAAATTTATACTAAAGCATTTGGTCCTAATCATATTAAGAGTGCAGCAACATACCACGCCCTGGGAAGCAATTATCATGACATGGGAGAGTACGACAAAGCAAAAGATTTGTATGAACGAGCTCTGAAAATTTATACTAAAGCATTTGGTCCTGATCATATTAAGAGTGCAGCAACATACCACGAACTGGGAAGCAATTATCATGACATGGGAGAGTACGACAAAGCAAAAGATTTGTATGAACGAGCTCTGGAAATTCAAAGTAAAGCATTTGGTCCGGATCATATTAAGAGTGCAGCAACATACCACTCCCTGGGAAGCAATTATTATGACATGGGAGAGTACGAAAAAGCAAAAGATTTGTACGAACAAACTTTAGATATTGAAACTAAAGCATTTGGTCCTGATCATCTTACAAGTGCAGCAACATACCACGCTCTGGGAGCTATTTATCAAAACATGGGAGAGTACGACAAAGCAAAAGATTTGTATGAACAAGCTCTGGAAATTCAAACTAAAGCATTTGGTCCTGATCATATTAAGAGTGCAGCAACATACCACGCCCTGGGAAGGATTTATCATGACATGGGAGAGTACGACAAAGTAAAAGATTTGTATGAACGAGCTCTGAAAATTTATACTAAAGCATTTGGTCCTAATCATATTAAGAGTGCAGCAACATACCACTCCCTGGGAAGCATTTATTATGACATGGGAGAGTACGACAAAGCAAAAGGTTTGTATGAACAAACTTTAGATATTGAAACTAAAGCATTTGGTCCTGATCATCTTACAAGTGCAGCAACATACCACGCTCTGGGAGCTATTTATCAAGACATGGGAGAGTACGACAAAGCAAAAGATTTGTACGAAAAAACTTTAGATATTGAGACTAAAGCATTTGGTCCTGATCATATTGAAAGTGCAGCAACATACAACAGACTGGGAACTTTTTATCAAGACATGGGACAGTACGACAAAGCAAACAATTTGTACGAAAGAGCTCTGAAAATTGATACTAAAGCATTTGGTCCTGATCATATTAAGACTGCAGCAACATACAACAACCTGGGAAGGATTTATCATGAAATGGGAAAGTACGACAAAGCAAAAGATTTGAACGAAAAAGCTTTGAAAATTCAAACTAAAATACTTGGATCCGGTCATATTGGTATTGCAAGAACATACAACAACCTAGGTAGGGTTTATGCTAAAATTGGAGAGCATCAAAAAGCAAAAAATTTTTACAAGCAAGCTTTAGAAATTCAAACTAAAGTATTTGGTTCTGATCATGTCGATATTGCAACAACACAAGTCAATCTAGGTAGGATTTATGCTGGAATAGGAGAGCATGATAAAGCAAAAGATTTGTACAAACGAGCTTTAGAAATTCAAACTAAAGTATTTGGTTCTGATCATGTTGCTATTGCAACAACTTACAACAATCTAGGTAGGGTCCATCTTAAAATGGGAGGGCATGAAGAAGCAAAAGATTTGTTCACACGAGCTTTAAAAATTCAGACTAAAGTATTTGGTCATGATTATGTCGATATTGCAACAACGTGCAGCAACCTAGGTTGGTTTTATTTTTTTAAAAAACTTTATAAAGAAGCTCAACGCCTTTACGAAAGAGCTTTAGATATTCAGACAAAAGTTTTTGGTTATAACCATGGTAACACAGGTACAACGTACAACAACTTAGGTTCAGTTCTTCTCACCATGAGAGAATACGCCAAAGCAAAAGAATCATACGAGCAGGCCGTAGAAATTCAAACTAAAGCTTTTGGTTCTGACCACGTATATGTTGCTGCAATGTGCAACAATTTGGGTTTGGTTTACATGAATTTGGGAAAGTACAATGAAGCTAAAGATTCGTACAAAAAAGCTTTAGATATTGGTGCTAAAGCTGAAGTTATTGATACAGCTGCAACGTTCAACAACTTGGGTTGTGCTTACAGTAAATTAAAAGAATATGAGAAGGCAAAAGATAACTTTGAAAAAGTTTTAGGAACCAAATCAAAATCATTTCCTCCAGGACAGTTCAACAACGCTGCAGTCTTCCAAAATTTGATTTTAGTTTGCTATGCAGTTAGAGAAAACGACAGAGCAGAAGATTTGTTCAGGCGAGCTTTAAAATATGGAATTGGTCAATATTTTTTGTCTCCTGAAGAAATTACCAAAGAAGTAAATTCATACAAATTAATCGACAGTGTCATATTGTTGCCAGGTATGAAGACGATTTTAAATGCTGTATTTAACAATTACATGTTTGTAAATGTAGATCGTCCAGGTTGGCATAGTCTTGAGAAGGACTGTTTTTGTTGTTAATGACTGGCATTTCGACAATCTTAGCGGTAGTAATCTTCAGAGTCAAATTACTACCTTTAAGGTTGTCGAAACGTCAGTCACAAATATGTAACGATACTCCCGGGTTCAAACCATTTACGTTATTTAACTACTGCTGTATAGCACTTTTTGGTAAATACAAATTTGCAGTCAAAAATTTTCCAACTTTAAGAGGAACATTTTTTTCTTGAAGCAAAAGATAGTATCTCTAAACAAAAATTTATGTAGCGTAATAAATTGTTGCAGACAGCAATTTACCGTTATGAATTTGGGAATTTACAATAATCAAATCATATTTTTGCGTGGAATATATTTTTATGTACAAGAAATATATTTACTTTTTTATATATTACCGCATGCTGGGAATAATGTCATAATGTACCAATTATTGTTTAGATTTGGCTACAGATGATTTTTTTAAACGTTCAATTTTCCATGCTGAAGAAAACAGAAAACAAGGTAGCTATTTATATGGTTTTTTAACGATCACACTGATGAAGTTAAAGATTAGAAATTTGACTAGGTCAAATTTTACATGCAGTTTTTATTATTAACGAATTAAAAGATTTCTATGGAAAGATTTAAGTATGTATAGGCTATCTTCTTAGACATTTTGCACATCTTGCTCATTAAAACATTTGAGACCATTAATTTAAGAAGCAGTTTTCAATTGATCACAACAGATTAAATGATAATTTTTCGACCAATTTTGGATAGGGATTGATGAAAGGGATGGAAATATTTTTTATAAAACTTTACCAGAAAGTGTATCTACCTGGCCAACTGTTTATTCTGAATTTAAAATTGTATTAAAATATGCTCTCTGATATAAATTAGTTTCCAGCCATTGGCCTTCATTAGATTTTGGAATTGGAAAATTTTGTCCGTCCACTGAAGAAATTACTGAAGAACTTGACAATATGAAATTGTTGCCAGGTATGTGGAAAATCTTGTGTAGATTATATTTAAGCAATATTTATCTCTTGTCAAGATTTAATGCATGTGCAAGGAAAGATTGCAAAATCACGTTTAAATCATATCAGTTTGTTTGTAGTTCAATCATATCAATTTGAAGTTGAAAAAATAAAAATGATCATTTGTTGACGACGAATCTGGATGTTACGGCAACTCTAATAATGAGAGAGCCAATAATCACAAATCTAAGATATAAACCTTAATAACAATCAATATCTAAAGAAATGAACAAACTAAAATATGTCACTATAGCCTTCCATATAATAAGCTGGCTACAGTATCTGAAACACCACCTGTTGTTTTGAGATTTTAATAGCATGAGCATGTTTATCGGTAAAAACGCAACGTACCAGTAACACTGTCACGTCTAAATGCATTAGAAGTAAGTGAGTTTTGAGTTTCCAATCTAAATCAATTTACTGAGTCATGTGAATGAGTAATGTGCACATTTTGCAGAAAAGTTAGGTGTCAGAGAGGGATAACAATGATTAACTTTGATCCACAACCGGCATATTTGCAAACATAAAAAGAATGATTGGAGTATTTCTGAGGAAAAAAGATTTCTAAATGCTGTAATCTGGAAACTGCGTACTCTAATTCATTTTTGTATCTTTAGATTTCACATCGTATCAAATATTTTTACAAAAATGGTTCAGACAGAAGTCATACAGTAGCTACGTACGGAAAAACTTGAAATACACACTGAAAAGAACATAAAATTTCTAGTGGAAATTGTTTTCAGCTTTCAGCAATTACTTAGCTAAGCTTTTGAATAATATAAACGTGCATTAACATAGAAACAGTTTGATCATTATGATTGGATTATGCACTCGTAGTGTTTCCAATATCAACAGTAAAACTACTGCAAAGTCCTCATTATATTAGGTCAAGCAGTGTCAAAGTACATCCGATTGACTGCAATGGTCCGAAACTGGAAGTAGTTATATTTTAATCCTGTGCATGGCATACATTGATACAATATGGCACTTTATGGCAACCATCACACGTTTTATATGTAGCTAATTTATCCACGACAAATGTTTTTTTTAAACCTTATTTCTCGTTTTTAGTATTTATAGAAGTACTTTTACATGGTTCTATTCATGCTATTGGTTATTATGCCATAAATTGCTTTCGTGAAGAAATTATGTATATTTAAAAAAATCTACCACTATTGACTAAAAACATCGTAATATATTTACTACGTAATTGCTTTAATTATAGAAAGAAACATCGACTGTACAATAAAAGCAGTGGCAGATTTAGATCCTACTGTGGATACATCTACGGATGCTGCCACCAAAATGAAGAAACCTGATATATCTCTTGATGATGACGTAGAGGATGACGACGAATTCTTTGAGAAGAAATTTCTTGACGAAGACTACGGTATTCGAGATGATGTTCGTAAATTATTAAAAAGGTTTGTCTCAAAGATATTTACCCCACTTCCTCTACAAATGTTGACTTAAAGAGCATGTTTAAAACGGTCAACGCCACTATAACCTATGTAATTTCAAAAATGAAAAAAATTGTGAAATAGTTTATACATGACACAATAGCTACATTTTTTGCAAACAAACTGAACAGTGTCAAATAGTTGTGAGAAATAGTTACTTGCGCTAAACTATTACTAACCATTCATCATGGCGAACACTCTCATCAATACAATATTTAGATATTTTGTCATACAATGTTATTCTTCTCCTTTATATAGTTAAAGTTGGACTTTTTATCATTCTAGCAAAAAAAACAGGTTGCATTGAAGGATGTTCAATAATTATACCGAATAAAATCACGCGTAATTTATATCTTTCTGTGTTCATCGATTTTGATTTTTTTCCTCTAAACTAAAAATCAAGTTGCAAATTTTAGTCGCTACTAAATGCTTCATTACTACGTTCACTTCTGAACAACTTTCTTTTATTCTATCATTAATTTGATTTTAGCATTTTCTATGAATGAGAGGAAAATTGTTAAACATAATTCTGATATATGTTGTTTTTGTTGTACCTAATTTATTGAATATTATTATATATTATGTAGTTTTCCTTGGATTTGTGGTGGATACGGGGTACGATGGGAACCCCGTCTATCTTTGTATGTGACAGTGGCAGCTGAAAGACAAAATGATAAAGATGCATTAAGAAAAGAAATTGATGAAACTTTTGGATGGAAAGCTTCTCCTTACTTTGACTTTGAACCAGAACAAAAAGAAAAATCGCAATTTCGATGGTTGTCAGATCTTAAAGTAGTAAAAAGAGAAAATGGTCCAAATCCAATGCGTAAAAAGAAGGAAAAAAAAAAGATTATTGAAACAAGTGCAAAAGGTTCTGTCACAATGTTTTGTAACACAGACACGAAACACTACGCTTTGACTTGTTTTCACAATTCATGCATCACTGACCAAGAAGTAGCTGGTAACGAATTCAATTCTTCGCACAACTGGAAAGATATAAAAGAATTATACGAGAAAATTTCAACAGGAGAAATCCAAGATGAAAATAGATATTATTACACTCCCCTTATGGATAAAGAAATAAAACTTGGAGCTCCTTGTTGTCAATCATTTAATGAAAGCACTGACATCATGGCCATTGAAGTGATTGATTATAAAAAGATTACTCGCACCCCTTTCGTAATCACGGAGACTGATTGGAAAACAGTTAAAAATCAACTAAAGAAAAGAAATGCTAAGGTTCAGAAACGAGTTGGAGGCGCTGTAGGAAAAATTTTAGACATTAGCTATTCACACTTATGCAGAGAAACCAGATGTGATATCTTCAGCAACGTTATCACCATTGAATGCGAACGTCCTTTTCTTAAAGATGGAGATTCTGGAATGTTAATATATTTCTACAATGAGGACAAAGACGAACACATACCTCTGGGTTATGGAGTCTGCGAACATAAAAAAGATGATGGAAGAATTGTCTATATAGCATTTAGATTGGACGTCGCATTGAAAAATCTAAACTTAAAAAATTGTCGTTGGTACTTGCAGGCATAGAGTGATCTTGGACTTATTTAATGAAGTTTGGACTGAGAATATTTTATATTCATGTTTTAATCAATTGCGAAAGTACTTTCTCGTATTCATATACATTGATTTAGGTTTATTGTGTTTATCAATTACTTATTTCACTTTATTTTATTATTATCATCATTTTGGTGTCATTGGTGAAATGTTCATTTTCCCTGTCACGTGTATTCACTATTTACATATTTAATGCACAATTCTTGTTATTATAATTTATATTTTTCTTCTCAAATCCATAATTTTCTCTGTAAATTTATGATTGGAGTTGAAATTACGAAATCTTAAATGAATTTCAGTTAGTCAAAGTTCAATTCAGGTGAATGATAAAATTTTACCAGACTTTGACAACTATATTTACCATCTCAAGACTATATCTTCAATATGTAAGTATTTTCTGCATGGCTATTGTTGTAGTTAAGCTAATCATTTTTAAACAAATAATCATTATGTACTCGCTTGCAAAAAAAAAAACAGTCAAACTGAAGACAGCATAAGTTTGCTGAAACAAATTTAAAAGTGAAACAATTGTCGTTTATCTGAATTATGGAATGTCTTAAGTTATACTAACAAATGAATAAAGTATGAACTAAAATTAACAATCACAGGACTTTTTGCATGTACCGCCGTTTAGTTTAGCACGAAATACAACAAAAATGCTCGTAAAACATCATCAATCATTTTTTTAACGCTCAACTGGTCGCGGTGTTCAAATTCATTTTCAACCACAATGTTTCCATTGAAGAATACGTTCCAAAAAGAATAACGGATTTCGCCAGCATTGAGCGACATATCTAATGATTCATTGTTAGAGTACAAGATACAAAATCTTTACACATGTAGTTATTCATATTTATTCGATGTCAATAACTCAAAAACACTGGTTTACAAAGAAAAGGCCTGATTTTAATTCTTGGTGTGCAAGTTAGCCTGTTTCAAACGTCGAACTTGACATACACCGAACGCATTTAAAACAAAAGAAAATGAAATTAAATTCCTCCCCTCATTGTCTTTTGTTTTAAATGCGTTCGGTTCATATAAAGTTCCACGTTTGAATACAGGCCTTAATGTCATGACCCTCATTTTGGACGAATTTAATAAAGCATTTTCCTTATTTAGAATGCAAATGTGATCCAATATGACGAACATTTCATTGTTTTCTCTCTCCCCAGAGAATGGTTGCACACTACCAATAGAAGGTACCTTTTTAAACCTATTTTCTATGTGACACATAACTTCTGATGTATGGGATTAGAATAATGGCAGACAGTCAATTGCATTTACTAGCCAATAGGAGCACTGAGCTGGCTAACTACAGTTATTTAACTACACAGCACCAAACTTCACACGGAAATGACATGTACTCCAATCGGAAGTCTTTTATGTACTTCCAGAAATTTGGTCTTTCCTAGGTTTTTCTTGAATCATTCTTGAAATGTATGGGTATTTTTGATGAGAATTTTATCAACAGGAAACACCATTTTTTTTCTTATATTACAAGTATCAAAACTTTCCTGTTGATTGTAATAGTCATATTACAAACAACATGAATAAAAGTGTTGAATGATTAAAAGAAATATCATGAAAATTAATACAAGGCTTTGATAAACTACATAGTTCTCTACATCCCTTTAATGACTATAGTGTGCTATGGTTTCATATAAGTCTCTTCATTTTCTTTTTCACGGCCTTTTGTTACTCATTAATAAAAAATTGTTTTCTGCTTAATTGAGAGCTTGCACATGTTCAATGATTGTGAATTTTGTGACTTTGTTGCATTGACTCACTAAAATAGGATGAAAAAGTAAAATTACTTACGTATTTACAAACTCGTTGCTTTTGTTCTTTGTGATGAACACTCTGATTGATGATTACGAGAGCTAAATTCCCTACAAGGTTAATTTTAAATTTTCAATTTTTAAACACCAAAGCGACGAAGCGATTCTCTTTACTAAATCTAATTTCTAAATCAATCAGTAGCGTAGCCAGCCAGCAGATATAATCGTACTTTGTAAATTATTGAACCTTATCATTAATCCTTTCTTCAGTTGTTCGTACAATCAGTGAAACTGCCTAACAATTTTTCCATATCTGGAGTAAAAGGTTCGGCTTGCTAAGCCACAGTTTTTGATGCTGAAGGGTGATAAAAATTTCGAGAATCGGTTTAATCAGAAACCGCAGTTTTTCTTGTAGCTTAGCTCGGTGGAAAAATTTTTCATTCTTTACAAAGTTCAGCTGTTTTTTGTCATCGTAGAAAATCATAAACTGACCTGTGCAACCAGCGTGAGTAGTATTTTTGAAGGAGCATTTCGGGTCCATTGAGCTGAAAGTCTTCTACGAGCTCTTCCATTTTGTTAAGAATTCTAGCAAGAAGCTCTTCTTTGTTGATTTTTTTCAATAACTTGTGTTCCTCGATGATTTCGTTTATACAAGTAGTTGGCTGATGGTTGTCAACATTTATTCCAATCCCTAAAATTGAAAAATTTGAAAAGATGAAATCGTTGGGGTGCAGGCAACTGTTCAATAGTCAGCAAACAAGTTTGGTGGTGCCAAGTAAATTATTTTGATGTTCACTCAATGTAAAAATAATGGATTTCTAAATAATGCAAATGATCTCATATTTACAACTGTTTAGACCATTAACGCTACGTCGTATGCAAAGGATCGCAACTAGAACAAGTTAGCATTATAAAGAAAATAAGTTTCACAACACGTAAAATGGTTCAGTATGAGAAAAGGTTTTTATGAGTCTTGGAAAAAATTGTGAATAAAAAACGTCCCAAGCATTTGAAAGATATCCCTTTTTTAGAGAACGCTGAAAGATTATAATTCCTTCCATGATTAGCCTGCAGTCATAACTCGATAAAACCGATATCATGATTTGAATTCTACGTTCACTCTCAGTTTAGAAACTGCTGATGAGACAAAACTCATAAAAATGTAGCAAAATGTAACTCATTTTGAACATCACATAAAACAACAAGTGTTCAACGTACAGAATGAAAGACAAAACCTTTTAAACTTTAAAGTCACATTTAAGACGTGAGTTTTCTTTTACTTGAGACAAGAATATATTGTGTGTTATGTATCCACTTTATCCACTTTAAAGTATGATGCTGTCTTTAGTTCCTTATGGACAAGTTTCATATATTTTTGAAAGTACGATGCTGTCTTTAGTTCCTTATGGACAAGTTTCATATATTTGAGCTGCGTCCTTCTATATTTCAGTAATAAATCTTCCTTTATCAAATTAAATCCCTGAATTTGAATATTCCAGTCAGTTCTCTTTGTCGAGAATGATTTGATACCGAAACTTTAGTCCTAATACGTATGTTCCAGTCTTGTTGTTGAAACTCGACTCTTCAAGTACTCCACTTTAGTATCTTCATTGGGAATGATCTGATGCTGAAACTTGAATTCGCATTTAGCTACTCCTCTTCTTTAGGAAAGTTTTGATGTTGAGTTCTTAATTTAAATACTCTCGCAGATCCTTATTTCCATGCATTTAGTTCAAACATATCAGATGAAAACGCAAAAATAAATCACCTGATATCCAGATATGTCCCTCACAGCATCAACAATGGCTAGGGATGTGATATGTTGTACAAATGGAAGACGTTGACGAAGATTAGAATTAAGTTCGATTTCCAAAGGAAATGAAAATGAAAGACAAGCATCAGGAGATAGCCAAGCATTTCCTCCACGACCTACAGAAAAACATCATTCGCACTATACTTAAACATTTATTCCTCAAAGAGCAGCAATAATTGGTGGATAGGTTTTGGGAGATACAAAAAAATGTAAGTAAAAAGGAAACTAATGGGATGTTGCAATGATACAAAAAAGAACATATCAAAAAACATATTACAAACCTTACCATAAAAGGTACACACATACGTAACTTACCATCAGGAAGACGTGTTCGTAAAATGGTAAATGGGATATTTGGTGATTCGTGATCCCTCATTATTTCGAATCCATAACATATACCTGGAAACAAAAAGGAAGGTGCAATGTCACTTACTGCAATAGTAAAACAAATTTTCGTTGGCGCTATTCATCATGTAAATACCGTGGTGACAAAGAATACAAAAATATTCCAGGGATCAAAGTGCCATGCTTCTTCTTGGGTCTAGTGACTTTGGCACAATCTCCCCGCCGTGTCTTCCTATTGTCAAGAACATAATTCCCTCGTTGAACCAGTTCTGGCAGAGAAGGTATATATCTATGAGATGAATTTTGAGACATCGCAGGTAAGTTGTGTGGCAAACGCCACTGACCGTCCTTGACCTTGAACGGACTTATAGACTTTTGTACCAATTCCTTTAGCAGCGGTTGAATAGTAACAAGAATTTCTTCGCTAGTCTCAATGACGTTAAACAGTAGGGACACTTCTTCTTGAAGAAGTTTTAAATCAGTCGAAGGATTGTCTTTTGGATTGGCTCCATCAGACATCCTTATCAAGAGGTCCAAAACTTCTTCTTTGTGGGACATAATTGCGCATACTGGTTTGTCTGAAGCCAATGCTGACAATAACCTTCAGCACGAGTTTGGAGAACTAGTGATAAATCCTTGTTTCTCTAACCAGTCAAGTATAGTACTAAGCCCCTTTGAAGATATCTATAAAAAAGAGGAATTATAGTATAAAATGAGCTCTGGAGTGATACAAAATTTTGTACACGTGGTGTAATAAATTCTTCTTACTTCAGATTTAAATTCTTGAAATTCATCCCAACTTAGCTTCGAATCACTGTACTTCTTCAATAAAGCACACACATTTCTCCTGTTGATGAAATTGCGAGTTCAAACCTAGTATTGGACAAAAGAAAACAGGTTTTTATTTTTATAACTATAAGCTGTGTACAAAAACAAAGTGAGAGAAGTCACCATCATGCACAAAATGCTTTCTGATACTTAGATGACCACTCATCTTTACTAATTAGCAGATCTGTATATACTATATATTACAAATAAACTTCAAAAATACTTATCTTCCATCTAGCAATCCTGTATCAGACTCTCTTAATAATTCGGTAAGAGAGTTTTCTGCAATAAAGTAAATGGTTTGAAACCGGGAGTATCGTTACATGTTCGTAGATGTAGATCGTCCAGGTTAGTATAGTCCTAAGAAGGACTGTTTTTGTTGTTGTTGACCGACGTTTTAACAACTTTAGCGGTAGTCATCTTCAGAGACTATAACATGTAATAATACTCCCGGGTTTAAACCATTTACTTTATTACGATCATTTGGACGACAGAGCGAATAACTTGCTAACGACTACGTAAGTTTTGCAACCAACGTCAGACGCATACGCCAACAACTCTGGTTCAACCACCGCTAGGTAAGAACCAGACAAAAAATACGGCTAACCTGACGTTTACTCCTCATTTGATTCTGAAGATGACTACCGCTAAGTTGTCGAAACGTCAGTCAACAACAACAAAAACAGTCCTTGTCAGGACGATACAAACCTAGACAATCTACATCTACATCTACAAACATGTAAAGTTTTCTGTATTCCTAGAGTTGTTCCATCCATCACTACCTTTTGGGGAATCCTTCAACACAATTCACAAAAAAAACGCATTATTAAAATCAATATCAAACAATCTTAATAAGAGAAAATTCCTAACTTAATAAAGCAAGCGAGCACTGTCTCAATGGAATATTCACGTTTTACATCTGAAAATGAAATGATGCTTACCGTATCATGGCAATGATAGCGAGACAAAACTTGGCGTAAGTTTTTGTCTTTGGGAAATTAAAATTACCCGAATACACTTGCCTTTGTACACATGCAACATAATATTTGTACATAGGTAAACTGAACAAAAAAAAAGAACATTCAATAGAGACAGGGTAAGAAATTGAATAATGGAAAAACGTAGCTACTAATGCTTCGGCAAATTTTCATTAAAAAGTACCTCGACGTTATGAAAAGCCGAGTGCAATCTTTTAGAACGGCATGAGATATTGCATATGATCCAAACCATACAAACATGTCTTCAATGCCATTATAATGCTTTTTCGTAGCACAAGAAGAGCAAGGTCTGCAATACACTAAATAATCTATTTAAGTCAAATAAATATGAGGTGAACCGTAACATGTAACAATTCAGAACTTACTTTTCACATCATGGATTGAGTAAAAGTACGCAACTTAACACAAGTTTACGTACAACCATTCATCTTGAATAGAACGTTTATCTCACTCTGCACCACAAGAACAAATAGCACTTTGCGATGGCGCTAAAATTTTATGACCATTTGTTTCAGGAAGATCAGTGAAATTGCTTGCATCTTTCTCATTGGCTAAAATGATTAAATTGTAAAACTTACAAAATGCTAGAAAATGCTAAATACCATATCGATAAAAGAAATAGTATATGTAAAGCTAAAAGGATGTTCATCATTGCAGATTATCTTGCATACCTGTTTCAAATAAAGAAACCTTTTCTTTGCTTAGTGTAGCAAATTCAAAATAGTCTCGCATCTCTGGTGTAATTCCAAAGGAAAACTTAAAAAATGCTAATGGCGAATCCATTTCATCCTCTTCAACGATTTGCATGGCTTTTGCAAAGGTTGTCACATGAATGCAATGATATGACGAACAGCTGCAACATTTTAACTCTGGCTGGGTCGGCGTTACTTTTGAATACATAAAAGTACAAACCCCCCATTGACTATTCACTGGTTTTACTGCAAGCCATTGCACTTCCCTGCACACTGCACTAAACAAATCCTACAATATGTAAAATAATTTATCTTAAGATTTTATGTATGTGTGTGTATGTATGTGTGCAGATTAACGATTATGATTAAATATGACTTCACAGAATCCTTAGAAAGTGCTTAATACATATATCAGGCTGGTAAAGCAATTGGTGAATATGACTATGTACGTATGTGAGTATGAATGTGTGTATACCTCAATAGTCATGAATAAATTCAATTTGCCCTCTTGGTTATCACCCTAATAGCTTTATAGAAGCTCCTGAACTTAGGCACAGGATGTATGGTAACAAATTGTGGGGTATTAGAAGGTTGAGAAACTATACGTGTATTTGTATAAAAAAGTTATTTTCACAAAAACAAATTATACTTCTTCATGTTGTATCTCATGGTGGGAATGATCACTGAAAACAGACTGCATCGTTGATGTGGATTCTGCATTCATAAAAGAAATTGGATGAGAGAAATATATTGTGTAAATAATCATTCACAAGTTTTAACAATATTTTTGCTTGTAAAACTGTGCTGGTTAACGTTCATATGTAATAAGAACAATGTCGACCAAGGGTCTTGTATAAACACAGAAGGATGACTTCACAAGGGTTTGAAAGGTACAATAAACTGATATTTAAGGATGAAGACATTTCCTCCCATACCACATGAAGAACTTTAGATTGAAAAAATAAGCCAATTACAAATTTGAGACATTCACTGCATGCAATGTCAGATTAATATGCAACAAGTTCTCACATCTTTGACAAGGGTCTTTAAACAAATAGTATGTAAGAGTAAGTCAAAATTTGGGAAAGCTGTTCAGACACCTTATACCCTGAAAGAGTAACACAACACTTACTTTTTTCAATAAAGTCTTGACATCACCATAATTGTTCCTTTGTTTGCATTATAATCATGAACAACAAAGGATTTCTGACATGATACATTTGATGCAAAGTCAAACTGTATTAATAACCAAGTATAGTGGCCAGTGGGTGACAAATGACTCTGAAAGAGCAAGTATACAGTAATTATTCATGTTCACAGTTTCAAAAATATCTTTTATAATATATTTTTATATTTGTTGAGCACATTCTACCAGATGTTAATAAAGTTTTGCTACACAGTGTTTCATGCATAAGCAATCATCAAGCAAATTGAACAACAAAGGATTTCTGACATGATACATTTGATGCAAAGTCAAACTGTAACAATAGCCCAGTATAGTGGCTAGTGGGTGACAAATGACTCTGAAAGAGCAACACAGTGTTTCATGATAAAGTAAATGGTTTAAACCCGGGAGTATTGTTACATGTTTGTAAACCTAGATCGTCCAGGTTGGTATAATCCTGAGAAGGACTGTTTTTGTTGTTGTTGACTGACGTTTCAACAACCTTAGCGGTAGTCATCTTCAAAGTCAAGATGATTTTGACTCATCATTTTCAAAACAGTTCTTCTTAGGACTATACCAACCTGGACGATCTAGATTTACAAACCTGTAACAATGCTCCATGCATAAGCAATCATCAAGCATATTGTCAAATTATAACACACTAAAAGCATGACTAGTGGTAAACAGTATAAATTATAACTGTATATGTGAGAACTACTTGACTAAGTTGACATGGTTGTTTGGATGCCTCTCTAATAATAGAGATAGATTGCTTGGTATCTTTATTCTAAGATATCTTCAGAATCGTACAAATAAAGACCATTGTTTAATTTAAAATGTGTACAGAATTTTAATAAGTGTTGAAATAATGCATGCCTTCTTTAAATTACTTCAAAATTTTTCAGTTTTTTCTAGTGAAAGCAGTCATACATATAGCCATTTCCAATGACTTTTCATGAGAAACAATATTAATATGTACATTACAAACCTTAACTCTTGGTGCTTGTCATAACTGTCAGCAAAATCTTCACTTTGTTCATTCTACATATAAATGAAAAAAAAACCATCAACATAGCGTATTTTTATATCTACATAGTTTTACAGTATATGTAAACTTACCAAATCCTCAAATTCATTTTCTTGCTCAAAGAATTGAGATTCATATGACACACTGCTATTCTATCAACATGTATGACATTGTGATTAAAGGATATAGAGAATCCAGACTTGAAACTGGAAAATGTCTTCAGAATAATTGTTTTTCCTTACACAACATTATGGGCATAAATAAATTTGTACACATACTTTTGTTAATAGGACTGTGGTTATAAATATAAATTAATATAAATTTGTGCAACTAGAAACAATAAAAAGAACACTTTAAAAATTCATACCGCATCATCTTTTTGTGTGTTTCCTTTCCTCTCCACGTTATTGTAAAAGAACTCATTTGAGCGACTGAATTTCTTCTTGAATTGATACATTTTGCAAGTGTACCCAAAAATAATAGCCCAATTAATAAAACCAGTACTGTGCATGTTCTTGGAATGACAAAGTTAGCCTAGAATTAGTCTAAGTAGCATTCTCCAAGCCCGAAATCTCTGATAGATATTTACTAAAGCACTCAGCATAGTACTGAGTGACCGAGCCCTGTTGATCGACTGCCTTGCTTCGAAATTTTGATGTTGCAAACTCCTAAAAAACATGAATACACTAAGAAATATTGTCCTCATACATGAACTTTGAAAAATGTACTAAATGGAAGACCTGAAATTTCTTCGTAAGCTGCACCAGTCGGATGGTTGTATTTGTGGTTGTATATGCCATTTTACGGAAGATACTAATAAATAATTTCATTGATGCTCGTCTTCTTGTGCTGACATGACACTTATTGACACATGTCATTTATCAATATGACACAACATAAAATGTGCTTATAATTTGTTAACATGACACAGAAATTGATCGCAAATCTTTATGGTAAGCTTCTGATTTGAATGTATGTCACACGTCTATGGATGATAGCATTCTTTAAACCAATGGAATTGGTATAATAGTTAATTCATATTACAACTTCAAAAGGTAGATCTATAAGACAGTAGAAAAAGATTATTTCTTATGGTTATAAGTTAGCTATTACTAATCATGCAAGTGAGTAAATTATGTAAGTAAGATGTACTTACAGCCAATTATTGTGGACATCAAACATACTTTATTCTGTTTAATGAATAATCAGTAATAGCAATTTTTTCACATGACTTTCTTCGTTGCTAAGATTATTTGACTGTAGATAACCTTTGCTTGTCTCTGTGGCAATATCATCAAGTAGAAATTTCTTCTCGCCAGGCTTTCTCTCTTGTTTAATTTCGTCTTGACATGAATTTTGTACTTATGTTTTGCAGACCGGTGAGAGATGACGTCTTTTCATGGTGGATCTTCCAGATTAAGAGATCGATAAGGCAGCTCGTTCCTCGCCTTAGCACAATCAAGATTCAAAATAAATTCCCAAAACTACAACACGATTTTATAAAAAAAGGAAAAACTGACATCTTTGTTTGCTGGCGCCAAGCTATGAAAAATAAATATCAAAGCATCCTGAAACGAAAGATATAAAAATTTAATGATTAGGATTTCAAGTTTTAAGTCCGAACGCTTATTTGAAGTGTCTCTGATCATTGAGATGTGACGAAATTAACCCTCTTACATAGCATTAGTCGTCAGAAAAATTTAATCGAAAAGTTGATGTTTATAATCTTAATTTTTTTGAGCTCTCTTATTGGTAAAAATGGTATCATATATTTTGCCTGGTCGTCTTGTCTTTGCGTTTATTAATTATTTAGTTTTTTAGAACATTTTAATAATTCAAATAAATATATGTAAATTGTGTATAAGGTTTATCAAATTTAACTGAAACATAATTTGTTGTAAAATTTAGAAATTAATAATCAATTAATTTCGTTAGTATTTTCAAATATCATTGGTAAGGCAGGCTAAAAAATCAACAAGATGAAGTGAAATTATGACACGTCACAGAATTTCAGTTATTCATATAATAAATGCGGAATGAATTTATTTTTTTCTAACATGGCTTTAATCAAGAAGAATTTTTTTCCTCTTTCATACAATCATTATCTATTTATCTTATTCCTAACACAGATGATGACATAAAAACGTTTTGCGAGGTATGTCTTTAGAAATTGCGCCTACTTGGAGTGAAAAGCTCACTTCTTCACATGATAGTACACGTGATTTTTCCTGATCTATAATTGTTAAACATGTTGTAAGATAGACTATTTAAAATATTTGTTTGCGTCAAAAGTTCACAAAATGACAAAACTTTGCACGATGAACTGTTAAATCCAAACGCTATCAATTTTGAAGTATCTCTGATTGCTGAGATGTGACAAAATCATTCAAAATTCGAGACTTCGAGAATAATTACTTTGAAATTCCCTTTTTAAATAAAGACTGCCCCTAAAATCTTCAGCCCCCAACTTTTACCTACCGGATCAAAATTTTGCTAAATGACAAAACTTCATTGACCATGTTTCAAAGTTGGAAAGCTGGCAATTTGAGAGAAGCTCTGTTTATCGATTGTCTTAGCTTCTTGAAATATAAATCTTTAATTTTTGAGCTATCTGACTTGTAAAAGGCTGGCTGCCCGTCTCCCTTTATGATTATATCAGTTGGTTTGCATGTAAATCAGTTTGTTCAATAATTAAAATAAATTATAGTAAACTGTGAAAGGCTTATTGGCATAAAGCTTCCAAGTCAAAACATCTTTGTGTTTACTTCAGTCATAGCTAAAGTAAAAAATTTGCATTTCATGTTTTATTGGGTATGACGGAATTCAATATTTTACAATAAAACCAGCAGGTGATTAAAATTGAACATTTAGTGAAGATTCCAATTTCTTTATTATCAAACAGAAGCAAATCATCATGTAGTTGGATGTGTCGTCTTTAATGTTTCTGAATTTGTGAAGGTATGTTTATTTTAAACACTGTAATTGTTTGTTTTTTTGTAATCTGTCACAAATGACTTTTATAAATAATTTCAGTACTATACGCATGTGTTTTAAGGATAACACTTGTCAATTTTGATCAAATTTTAAACAAACGGTAATTTATTTTGGACATTTTACCATTGGAAAGTACCGACCTTTCTCACATTAACATAAGCTACACATTCCAAAAGTTTATTTTAAATAATATTTGTGTGGAGAAGCTACAAAACTGACAAGATAGTCAAAATAATGACACGTCAAAGAATGTTTGATATGCATGCCATTATGTGCAATATGTTTATTTTTTCTAACATGGCTTTTATCAAGACGTGTACAACATTTTACTTCTTTCATTAATTTGCTACGTCTTATACACTTTACAAATCTTCTGTTAAACATATTCTGAATCGTCAACCAAAAACAGTCAACAAGATCTTAAAGATTTTTGGTCAATTTAATTGATGTGTCAACGTACAACCATTAATATTATAGTGAATATAGGACCAGAATATTTACATCGAAAGAGAGTATGAAGTTTATTATCTAGATCTTTATATTTCGCAAATTTTGCCTTAGATAACTATGGGACAATTAGTTGCTACAAATTTTCATGATAACTATTTTTGTGTTCTTTCTGTGTCTTTGTTTAAAGGCATTTTTGTTATGAATAACATTTGTTGATTTTGATGGGATTTTTTAAACAATCACAAACAAATTTTAGATAATTTAACGTTGGAAAACACTGAACTTTCCAGCATCATCGCCAGCAATAAGATGTATTTAATCAATTATTCCGATGGTTCATTTCAAATATTATTCATACAACAGGTCTAAAAAATCAACAGGATGCGTGAAAATAGTGACACGTCACAGAATTTCAGTTATTCCTATAATAAATGCGGAATGAATTTATTTTTTTCTAACATGGCTTTTATCAGGAAGAATTTTTTCCTCTTTCATATAGTCATCTATCCATTTATCTTATTCCTAACACAGATGATGACATAAAAACGTTTTGCGAGGTATGTCTTTAGAAATTGCACCTACTTGGAGTGAAAAGCTCACTTCTTCACGTGATAGTACACGTGATTTTTTTCTGTGCTATAATTGTTCAACTTGTTGTACGATAAACTATTTAAAATATTTGTTTGCGTCAAAAGTTCACAAAATGATAACACTTTCCATGATGAACTGTCAAGTCCAAACGCTATTAATTTTGAAGAATCTCTGATAATTGAGATGTGACAAAATTATTCAAAATTAGAGAATTCGAGATTAATTACTCTGAAATCTCCCTTTTAAATAAAGACTGCCCCTAAAATCTTCAGTCCCCCAACTTTTACGTACCGGATCAAAAGTTTACAAAATGACAAAACTTCATTGACCATGTTTCAAATATGGAAAGCTGCCAATTTCAGAGAAGCTCTGTTTATCGATTATCTTAGCTTCTTGAATTATAAATCTTTAATTTTTGAGCTATCTTACTAGTAAAAGGCTGGTTGCCCCGTCTTCCTTTATGATTATTTCAGTTAGTTTGCATGTATATGAGGATGTTCAATAATTGAAATAAATAACAGTAAACTGTGAAAGGTTTATTGGCATAAAGCTTCCAAGTCAATACTTCTTTGTGTTTACTTCAGTCATAGCTAAAGTAAAAAATTTGCATTTCATGTTTTATTGGGTATGAACAGAATTCAATATTTTACAATAACAACAGCAGGTGATTAAAATTGAACATTTAGTGAACATTCCAAATTCTTTATTATCAAACAGAAGCAAATCATCATGTAGTTGGATGTGTCGTCTTTAATGTTTCTGAATTTGTGAAGGTATGTTGATTTTAAACTCTATCTGTAATTGTTTGTTTTTTTGTAATCTGTCACAAATGACTTATATAAATAATTTCAGTACTATACGCATGTGTTTTAAGGATAACACTTGTCAATTTTGATCAAATTTTAAACAAACGGTAATTTATTTTGGACATTTTACCATTGGAAAGTACCGACCTTTCGACCATTAACATAAACTACACATTCCAAAAGTTTATTTTAAATATTATTTGTGTGGAGAAGCTACAAAGCTGACAAGATGAGTCAAAATAATGACCCGTCAAAGAATGTTAGATATGCATGCCATTATGTGCAATATGTTTATTTTTTCTAACATTGCTTTTATCGAGACGTGTACAACATTTTACTTCTTTCATTAATAATTTGCTACGTCTTATACAATTTACAAATCTTTTGTTAAACATATTCTGAATCGTCATCAAAATTGGTCAACAAGATCGTAAAGATCTTTAGTCAATTTAGATGGTATGTCAACGTACAACCATTAATATTAGTGAATATAGGACCAGGAATATTTACATCGAAAGAGAGTATGAATTTTATTATCTAGATCTTTATATATCACAAATTTCGTGTTAGATCACTATAGAACAATTA